GACCACAGCCCCAGCCAACAGTCTGATTTCAGCAGAGGACCCAGCTATCCCATATCTGAACTGCTGAGCTACAGAAAAGGTGAGATAATAAATAGGTGTTGTTTTAAACCACTGAGTTTGTGGTAATTTGTCACACAGCAGCAGAAAGTAAATATACCCCCATTAATCAATTCCCCTCCCCCTGTCTACAGAGGTAAAATGTGACTGGGATATTTATCCCTCCTGGACATTTTTAGAAATTTGCTACACATTTCTGCAACCATAAAAACTATATGGTATTGTTGGGACTTGAAACTCATTATATAAGTTAACACTTTACCACATATATCATTCTGCAGCTGGTTTGGGTTGTACTACACTATGTTTAAGATATATATCCCTGTGGGGAGATGTGTTTCTATTTCATTTAATTTAATGACTGAATAGAATTTCTATTCAGAGAAATGGATGTTCAAGTCTTCCACTGTGACTGCAGATTTGACAATTCCTACTTTTTAAAATATTATCTTGAAGCTATATCATTAAATGCATATATATTTGGGATTATTACATGTTCTTGATAGAGTGAGTATTCTAATAGTACGAACAATTTCTCTTCAATTTTCCATCTTAAATTCCCCTTCAATCACACTGGCTATGTTGATTAACATTTGCAGTTATTCTTCATATCTGATTGTATGTTTCTATTTAACAAGTATTCTTATCTCTAATGCCTCCATACATAGAATTTTTTATTGACTAAGTGGCGTTTTCTTTGTTTTACTTTTCCTTTTTCTAGCTCTTTGGGAGTTACTTCCGTTTTTTTTCAATTGATACCCTTAAATTTTTAACACACACATGAATCTCTCACAGAATTGATTATGTTACATAGACCCATGTCTGTTTTGTCCTACCCTCATTATCTTCATTTTCCAGAATCTCTGCTCAACGTAGATATACACTGACTCCCAGGAACACAGGGCTGGGAGGGGTCACGGTGAACACCGGACCTTAGATCTCCCGGGTGGGGAGCCCACTACCCCAGGAATGAGCCCTGAGAGACGGCCTGGTGCTGTGGTCCTGTGCACCGTCTCGAAGACTCACTCCCTCTCTGCCCCAGGTCACCCAGAACCTTGAATCGGGACTCCTTCTCTCCAGGGTCTCCCGGGGTCCCTGCCCCATAACTCCATGTCAGTGACTCCAAGGTACACAAGTCACACTACTGAGCCCTGGGACTGAACTGAGCCCTGGGATTTTGAAGAAAAGAGTTCCTTCTCAAGTCATCCCTCTCTATGCCCAGACTAGGTGCTCCCCAGGGGTAGGACCCAACTCCTCCTCCTCTGTCTCCTGGAGCAGTAGCTGTGCCACTCTCTTCATTGTCCATTCCTCGGTTTACCTCTATGGCTAGAGGGGACATGCATCCTTGGAGAGCCCCTTAGGGAAGAACTTGCTGAACGATCAGCTAGGAGGACAGCAGTGAGCGGACAGCCTCCAGCGGCAGCACGTCCAGAACCCAGCACAGTCCTGGAGCTGGGGCCCTGCCTCTCCTAGGCAGCTCCCAGCTGCTGACCGAGCACAGCCAGGCTGCTAGGGCACCTGAGCCTCTTGGCTCTGGGGCTCACTGTCAGGTTGGCAGAGGTTCTGTGTTAGCTGCCGGATCCTGCTCTCTCTCTGCCCCTCATCTCTCACAGGGTCCCCCTGCCATCCAGTACACGTCCTCAATTCTAACTCCATCTTAGCATCTGTTCACTGTAGGACCTGAACTGGCACACCTTGAGTGCACCCCATTCCCTCTTCCCCTCCTCCCCGCCCGAGCCCCAGAGCCCTGGCTTCCGGGACCAAGGGATGCGCAGGCCAGTTCAGAACTGGTTCCTGGGCTTCATTTCCCCATCTGTCAGGCCAGGACAATTCTCCCTCTGTCACCTGCATGCCTATGGACTCTATTTTCTTCCCAGGTATAGCTGTAACATGACCACAAGATCCCTCCAGTGCCCCACTCAAGCAGGGCTAGGTTCCCCTTGAGGGGCAGTCCATGTCTATGTCCTGTGGCATCCCCACTCATCAAAGGGCCAGGCCAGTGTAGGCAGTGACACATGAGGGATCAAGACATGCTATTTGCTGCATGCTGTTATGGAAAGGATGGAGGGAACATTGCTTTTTTAAATACCTGCCTGGGCCTCTCCTGCCGTCCACCAAACCACAGCTTGGAGTTAAGATGCATATTCTTACAGGAAGAAGTAGTCCCAAAGAAGGGACAGCCTGGGGAGGTGGTGACCATTTCATACCCCCAGAGCTGCCAGCCCTACTAGGATAAAGACCTGAGGTGTAGGACCATTAACTCAGAAACCCAAAGAGGGCCAAGCTGGACTGCATGCACACAGCAATGCGGATGGCTCTGGACGAGGAATCGTGGAACATTGACTCCCTGGCCAGGTTCCTGCCTGGCCCCCACCATGCTGGCCAAGACCACACTGTGGTCCCCAGGCACCCCTCCCACTGCACCAGAGAACCTCACCACCATTGGGCTCCTGAACTAGGAGCCCTGAAGCGGTGCGTGCACGACTCAAGGAGGTGGCTGATGGCCCGGGGGAGGCATGGGTGGCACCTACCGCAGGGATGAGGCAGGCAGCCAGAATGCCAGGCAGGCTCCACATGAGTAATGGCAGTCTTTCCTTCCGTGCCTGTTGTCACGGGGGCTGGCAAGTGCTTCTGCCTCTCTCTCTTCTGCACCCCTGTAATTCCTGACATCCGGAAGGGTGGGGGACTCAGGTCAGACACTGGGGACAGGGCCCAGGAATCCAAGAGGGGAGACTGTCAGAACAGAGTACACCAGGGAGGAATGCATGGAGGAGGACACGGGGAAACAGGGAGCAGGGGGTAGCTGTGGCCCCCTCTACAAGCCTGCACTGGTGAGACCAAGGCCAACTCCAGAGGGGCTCTGGCTTCGGGCAGTATGGGAAATGGGAAAGAGAGATTCAGGTCGCTGCTTTCTACCCCCTCAGGCAGCCTGCCCCCGCCCCCCACTTCCGGCTTCTGATATCCCTCCTCCCCCACAAAGCCTGCCCTGGTCAGCAGACAGGCGAAACGATGGCTTCCTCATCAGATCCCAGAACCCTCCCAGGACACGAACACGGAGCTGGACAGGCAGGAATTAGTCCAAACAAGGTCACAGCCGTGGTTGAATTTTTAGGTGTTTGTTTGTGTTTGTTATTTTCTTTTTTCTGCTCCTCCTTCCACTTCTGAATTTGTTTTGTGCCTCTTGGTAGGGTGGAAATTGTCTCCTAGGGGAACAATTCTGAAAGAACAAAGAAGTAATTTTCTTGCAAAGAATCTGGAGGAAAACTAGTTTCCCTTAAGACACCTGCTTCCTTCCGGGAGCCTGGGGACTGCAAGAGCATTGGGAGGCCCTGGCGTCACTCTCACTGCCTCCAGCCTGCCCATGTGGCCCTCAGCTAAGAAGGCAGTTTCTCGAGGACTAGCCTCCAGAGCAAGGGAAAGACAGCTCATTCCCCAGGTAGGAGCCTTAAGATTCCCTCTCCTCCTCCTCCCCTCCCATGAGCCACCTGCTGGACCGGACCCCAGTGTCACATGGTGTCTGGCTCCCTCCTCTTCCCCACTTCTCACCTCCCTGCCTCAATGCACTGTCAAATACCCAAGATCCCAGTTCTCTGGGAGAGCAGCACAACTGACTAGGTGGGGTGTGTGTGCAGTGTGGGCAAGAGTTTATGAAAGCTAAAGCCCATGGATTTGGCATTCACATCTAGGACGCCTATGGCACTGTGCCAGCAGAGATGATTCCCCAGAATGAGAACAGGGTTCCACTGCTGGAGAACTGAGGCCTGAGAAGGGCTACTGTCAGGATCACAGGGAAGGCAAGGACCTCTGGCTCCTGAGCCTGAACTGGTGCCCAGAATGGGGACAACTGAGGAGAAGGCTGGTGTTTCTTCAAACACTTGCACCACCAAGGGAGTGAGTCTAAACCCCAGAATGGACAGGGCAGAGGCATCTCCACAGTTCCCCTGTCTGGGGGAGGGTCTGTGTCCAGCCTCAGTGACTATGTCTGGAAGGAGGTGGAAATTGTGGACAATACAACAGCCCCCCAGGCCCTCTTCCTAAAGAGGTGCCGCTGTCTTATCCACCTTTGTGCCAAGCACAGAGCCTGGCACACGCAAACTGTTAATAAATGTGCGAGGAAAGAAGCCAGAGAAGGAAGGGACTAATAAAGAAAAGGAGAGAGGGAAAGAAGAGAAGGAGGGAGGCACGGGACAAAAGAGACGATCCAGAAGGGAAGAAAGGGGAGGGGGTAGAGGGAGTATAAAGCAAATTCTTGCACTCCCAAATAAGCCGAAATGGAGGACAGGTTAGGCGCTCAGCACTTGCTGGCTTTTCCCTGACTCCCCATAACATCATCCCACCCCGGAAGTTCAGCGGCCCAAGTTTCCCTGTAGGCCCTGCAGGGACAGAGGCTCAGTGGGTTCGCAGGAACCCTGACGCACCTGCCGGTCCGCCAGCGCCTGGAGTTGGACCTGTTTCAAGCAGGCGCGCAGCCTGCTAGGCGCCCGGGGAGGCGCCCGCCCTCTCCGCCTCTACGAAATACCGCCTCCCCCTCCTCCCATCACACTCACCCACTACCCATCTATCCGCCCCGTCACCTCCAGCCTCGACTGCACCGTCTCGAGCCCTCAGAGAGCGACTAAAGCAGCCACCTGCCCTTGGTCCACAGGAAGACCCGCTCCCGAGCGACACGCAGGTGAACCCGTGATTCATTCATCAACGGAGCCCTGAGGAGGTGGACGGCTGGCCCGATGTCACCCCGCGGCCGACCCGCTGAGCCTTGGAAGTGAGACCCCAGAGGCAGGCGGCCAGGATCGGGCCTTTCTCTGGACCTGGTTCCCAGGCTGTGAAGTAGGGAAGGCAGGAGGAGGAGGTTTCTGGATCGTTTTAATTCGGCGGCGCAGTCTGTGTCCGCGGGCAGTTGAACAGACCTTCCATCCCTCCCCGCGTGGGGTCGCTGGAACTTCGACCCAGCCTCCCTGGGGAGATGCCTAGGCCGAGATGTCTGAGGGCGGGATGGTTCATCCTCTGAAGCACAGCCCCACCCGAGCCTGGCCGCGCAGGGCCCAGGAACCCAGCCTGTGCCGAGGTGGCCTTCCAGGTCTCCTGGGTTACGGGGAGGCACCGACGGACCCAGAGTCAGGACTCACGTTTCCTCTCGCCTTCTGGCGCTAGGGTTGAATTGGGGCGATTGAAAATGGGTCAAAGCACCCACCCTAATTCCTTGTCGCTTGCAGCCCAGGACCCTACGCAGGCCGGAGGCCACAGCCTGGGGCATAAGACGCGCCATGTCCTGTCTCGGACCCGCTCGCCCGCCCCAGCCCTCCAAGGGAAATAGGAGGCTGGCGGGAAGACCTGGAGGAGGTGGCTCTGAAGGTGGACTAGAAGAGCGCCCTGGGTGGGGCTGAGGGGGCTTGAGTGAGTGGGAGACCGCTGCCAGGCGCTTGGAAACGTCGTGAGCCACGCACGGAAGGGTGGGGCGTCTTGGGATCTCGAGACTCCGGGGATGCGGTCCTAGCGGGTAAGGCAGGTCAGTGCCTGGCGCCCGAAGACTTAAGTGTAGAATTGTCTGAATGGGCTAAATGCCTCCCCCTCTCGCAGGGGCGCCCCCAGCCCCGCCCCGCACCTGCGCGGCGGCCCCGCCCCTGCGATCCATTGGCTAAATACGCCGCCCGTCAGACGAGCCCCTGGGGCCCGCCCTCAGCCACGAGCGGCGCCACTTAGTGCTGGGGCCACCGCGGCAGCGCTACTCCGCCAGGCTGCTCGCGGTATACCGCGCGCTGCGCCGCTCGCCCGCGCATGGCCGGCGCGGGGCCTCCTGCCGCGGGCTCGGGGCGCACCACGCTCCTGCCCCGCCCGCCGCCGGCCAGCTGGCTCTGCGCGCTGGCCGGCGCCCTCGCCTGCTCCCTCGGCCGCGCGGTGAGTGTCCAGCAGCCGGGTGCAGGGGGGCGGCGGGGACCCGGGCGTCTGTGCGCGCGCCTGGGTAAGGGGAGTGAGGGGCACGGGGCGCCCCCTTTCACCTTGCCGCTCCGCCTCGAACCGGATCTAGACCCGACGGGGGGCGGGGGGTCTCTGTCGCGCCTAGTCCCTCCCAGAGCAGCCCGGAGCCGGCTCCGCGGGGCAGTCTGTGACGCCCGTGGAGGGGCGGCGAGAGAGGCCGGTCTGCAAACTTGCCTTACCTGTAGTAGGCCCAAGGTCAGAGGCTGTATTCTATGGAAATGGAAGGATGGTGGACAGTGGGTGGGAGGGAAGTTGTGAGGGTCGTTGTATGCCGTGCCGGTCTAGAGGTGTCTGTGGGCGCTGCGTGTTAGTGTAGGAGTAACATGTTGGCAACAGACCCAGCGCTGAGCACCCTGCGATCTGCGAAGGGCCTTTGGGGATCAGGTGTCTGACAGGCAGCCCCTTAATGTACCCTTCCACTGAGCAGAGCTGAAAGGTATGGAGCCCAAGGTGGGAGGCAGTCAGCTTGAGGGGTTTGGGGGTGCTGTTTATCAGAAAGGACCAGACGTGTATGGGGAAAGCTGAACCGAGAGCAGCCAAGAAGCAGTGGGCTCCCTCTTCTTCTCACTTCTGCCGCCTCCCCACATGGGTATGTGTATGCCTCTGATGCGTATGTGCCAATGTGCCCCATGTGTGGGTGTGTCTGTGGCTGGCTCGCCTAGGCTGCAAGACAGACCCTGGCTGAAGCAGGAGATGCATGGATCATCTTCCTCTGAGATCAGGGAAGACCTCAAGACTCACTGAATTTACCCAAGCCCATTTTACAGATGGGCAAGGGGAGGCCCAAAGACCAGAGCCACATCTGTCCCCGACCGGAACTCTGGTTGATTTTTTTCTCTAACCCTGTACCAGAACTTGAGGAATCAGGGGTTGCTGCTTGGGCCTAAAACTCAAGTGGCTTCAGATAATGTCAGGTTCCAGATAACGTCTTGTATACTCTAGGCACACCCTAAATGGGGAGTTCATGGCCTTTCCTGGGAGCAGACCTTATGACATTGGTAGGAGCCTCCCCTCCCCCCACTTCTGAACACTCCAAGCCTCACCAAGCTCTGGCCCTAAAGCCACGGCCTTGGCGCCTCTCATAGCCCCTCCATGTCATGGAGCTGCCAGGCCTCACCATTCACCTTCTAGCTCCCCCATCCCTGGTCTCTGACCACTCACATTCTTCTTGGATGAGCCAGGGATCTTGGGACCACCACTGGCTCCCCACTGCCTGTCCCAGGAGACTTAGCCTAGGGGCAGACTGGTTTCAACAGGGCCTCCTCTCATGCGAGGGCACGTCTGACCCCTGCCTCCTGCAACAGTCCAAGCCTGGCTCCTCCAAAGCCTACCCTTCCTGACTTTCCACATCTTATTTAATACCTAACTCCATCTCCTCCTCCAGACAGTCTTCCCTGGTTGCTCCAGCCCACTCAGCTCCCTGCCTCTGATCCCGCCCTTCAGCCCCACTCACCTCCCAGCCTGGGCTTTTCTGACCATCCCACGGGATCAAGGGCTGAGGCCTCTCGCCCACCCATGTCCCCTACACAGTGCAGGGCTGGGCCCACAGCGGGAGAAGGGTCTCATCCAGGACTGGGTGAGGGCAAGCTCTCTACTTCTCTCTCCTCTGCACCAGTCACCACTTGCTCCCACACTGAATGGACAACAGGCAATCCTGCTCCTGCCGGCCTCCAGGGTAAGGGGGCTGACGTTATCAGAATCATAAAATGTCAGCAGCAAAGTTCAGTTTGAAGGCCCAGGGCCTTATCACTCCTATTTATTGTGTCCTGGCCTCAGCCTGGGAAGGGGAAATCTCAGAACAGGGAAGCGAAAAAAAAAAAAAAATAGAAAGAAAACCTCCAGTGTCTCAGAAAAGGAAGTCTGCCCCAAGGCCACCCATCAGCCTTCCACTGCACCTACCCAGCTCCCAGCAGCAGGCACAGGGGCTACTCCCTTGAAGCAAAATGGCTCAGGGCAGTGTCCAGCCCAGGGGCAGGTCAGAGAGGAGCAGATCCAGGCCCTGCCTTGGGAAGATTCTCTGGATGGTGGGAGAAGCAGAGCCAGTGACCCCAAAGGAAGAGCAGTGGTGGGTGTGGGGTGCAGTATCCCACAACTGGGCCAAGGGTCGCTAAGAGTAGTCCAGGGAGGCTCCCTGGAGGAGGCAGCATGATGTCCTGAGAGGTTTGGCCAAATGGGCCAACCTTCCACTTAAGACCATAAAACAGTTTCTGTTGGCAGGACCAATGGGCCTGACCACTGAAGGAGGAGGAGGTTCCCAGCTTCCTCCAGAGGCTGGGATAGCCCAGGATTTGGGGGAGACTTGGCCTCTCTAACTCCTCTCTGAGGTGGGTTTCTGGCAACCTGATCCCGAAGACCTCACCTTGCCATAGGCATCCTGCCCTGGCCATCTGCTTCTGAACTCTTCAGCACATTATTCTGCCCCTTCCAGGGAGCCTTCCCTAACTGCTCTCTCAGAAACACTTGCTGAGTAAGTGGTATTGTCAGCTCAGGCTGGGTTGCCATTGAAGCTGTCCACCATATGAGGAGGTGCATCACCTTCCACCCAGCCCTCCCTGAGAGGACCCATTGCCTACCTGGGCCTTACCTCTCAACTGCCGGGCCACCTCATGAGGATACCCTACCCCCATGCCCAGGATTCCTGCCTGAACTGGAAACCCCTGCACAGGTGGGGGCAAGGGAGGGCTGAATAGGGGTCCACAGAGCTCTTGAGCTGGGGATCATGAATGGCCTGTCACCAGTTTGCAAGCCTGCCACTTACCTCTGCCCCTCACTGTGGCTTCTCTGGCCACGGATGCAGGAATGGCGCCTGGGGACTAGACAAAGCCCTGTCCCTTTCTCCCTGCCCCTTCTGCTCAGCTTCCCAGACTCCATCCTCCCCTGTTTGACTTCCCAACACAAAGCAGTTCTCACTGCACACAGGAAAATGTACAGTATGTGAAAACTGTCTCACATACCTTAGATGTATTTCAGAAGAAAAAGAAACAGTTTAATCTCTGCACCACATTATGAGGTTTTTCTTTAACTTTTATTGTGAAAAATTTTTTAAATATTTTTTAAAAAGTCAAGAGAATAGTATAACGAACATGGAAATACCCATTCCTTGGAATGATGCCATCAAAATGTCAGTAAAGGGATTTCCAGCACTCATCCGTTCCCAGTTTCTGGGTTTGACAATTACTGACCTTTAACAATATTTGCACAATTTGCTTCTTTTGGCTGAAATATTTTTAAGTGAGTTATAGACATCATGACTTTTATCACAAATCACTTTAAGATGCATCTCTAAAACCAAAGGACATTTTCCCATATAACTGATACCATCACCACACCTAACAAAATTAACAGGGATTCCTTAATATCTAATATCCAAATATCTCTAAGCAGCATTTCATCAAGCATAAGAAGAGTGGTATTATCAGCGGTTTGGGTCTAATTGCAAGGAGCTTTCCAACCTGTGTTGTGATGGGACTGTGCAGTGAGCTGGCAGGGTAGGCAGGGGGAAGGGCAGGGGTCCTTCAGCAGCGTGGGTGACATCAGCCGGTCTTCTCTGGATGGGGCCCTGGCTCTCTATGCGCCCCCCCACTCCCGTGATGCTCATGATGTAGTTTCCTGTCTCTCAGGAAGTGCCTCTTGCTGTCATAAAAAGTTTCTGCACAATGGGTCATTAGGAGGGAAGAGGTCACCAGCCTACCCTATGTCTCGAGGACTTGCAGCCTCTTGGCAACCTGTGCTGGCACCCAGCCCTCTGCATATGGCCCCAAAACCAACATCACCCACAGACACCGTGTTCATAAATGAAGTCCTCTTTCCCTGGAGGTGCCCAAGGTGACTCTCAAGGCACAAAGGATTTAAACCTGAGTCCGGCTTCCCCTCCTTCACTGGCCATCCCACAATGATCCTCTGCAAAGAAACAGTGAAAGGCTTCATGCCCCTAAGTTAACCTTGGAAGAAGAGCCCTTATATGGGACCAGGCTTAACCCAGGTTGAACAGTTTTGCTTGTAATTCTAATGATGAGATCCCTTGTCCAGGGACACCCTGAGTTGTGGAAAGTCCTTTCCTGCCCCGAGCCTCACCTGCCCCCTCCTGTCTTCCTCTTCCTTATCCCTCCCCACACACCAGTTCTCACCCCATCCTCACACCACCCAGAGTCCAACCTTTCCTAGGAGGAAGTGTGGTCAGCAAAATTGGGATTTGCAGAGAGAGGAGACTTGGGACTGTTGGCAAAAGGATGTAAAAATACAGGGAGACAAAGAGAAATGAGACTGTAGTGGGGGCTGAGGGGAATTCTGGACTGGAGACCTCTCCCAGGGCGGGCACAGCTGCCACTTGTCAGTGCACAGGACATTCAGACTGCCTGGGGCTGCACAGGGCATCTGGCCGGGGCTGGGCTGGGGACTGGGTGCAGGTGGCAAGGCTACCTGGCATGAGGGGCTGGGCTGGGGCTTTGGCATAACTGTGTCCCTTACATGTGACCCTAGACACAACCCTGGAAGTAGATGGTGCTCTTATTGTCCCCATTTTACAGATAA